ATAATTTTAAGAAGTTGTAATGGTAGAAAAGCAAAATAAAAATAAGAAAACAAATAATAGAAATATTTAACAAATTACAATTTACAATAGACATATAATGTAAACTAAAAAAGTACATTTTCTAGATGTAATATTTAATTTAAATAATAATGCGTACAACCCGTATAGGAAAGTAAATAAGAAGACTATAAAAATCAAACCAGAAAAGCGGCTGAAAAATATACCTATAACTGTTATATAACAATAAAAAAAAATACTACGTTACTTAAAAATCGAAAACTAAAAATTAAATAAGAATATACAGTATAATAAATAAATAATAAGAAAAAAATAAAATAAAATTGCCTAAATTAATCCAAATAAATAAACAAACTAACAAACCGATCACGATAAATTAACCGTTAGAAAAAAAAAACAAGTAAAGATAATCAATCCAAATAAATAAATGAAGTAATAAACAATTAAGAACTGCTCCCGCCAAAATAATAGTTAGAATAGATTACAGCAATAAACCCCAAAATTGAATGAATATCTAGATAGCTTTATCTTCCCAAACTAAAACAAAACTATTTAGCGATATAAACAAATTGTTACTAAGTTAATAAAACACCTATGTAATATATATATATATATATATATCACTGTCATATATGTTTCTAAAATAAATATATATAAATATATCCCTATATTATGGTTATATATATATCCTATATATTTCTATATATGAGCTAAACAGCAAAACAGTCTGTCTGTGGATGATTATATATATATATATATATATATATATATATAAAAAAAATAAAAAAATTATATAAAAACAAGCAAAATAATTTAATATACAATACCACTATATATCAAAGTATATACATGCCTTTGTGACTTCCGAGTCGGCGTCTGTCGAACTCTCTGCATAAGCATGTTTCTAAAAAGGTTTTGTTCAGGGAGGTAAGCAGGGCCTGAATCCGTATAGGTGCGTTCAAAAATATTTTTGCCCGAGCTTACGGGCTCTACATTAAACCGGCCTTGGCCACATTCTATCCTCGTGGGTGGATTGAAAAATACTATGCACCACTGACCCCAATATAAATAGCCGAGTTTGACCTGACGATTGCATATACCATGAAACAGTCTGTCGTCTCTAAGTGTTGACTTCAATGTTCACTTTTATATTTACACATCTCCGATTGAGCTGTAAATATAGCACACCTTAAGAGTATATTTCTTCACACAGTACATACACATATATATATATATATATATATATATATATATATATATATATATATAAGAAATAAAAAAATGAAAAAAAATAATATAAAAACAAGCAAAATAATTTAATCGAACACAATGCACCACTGACCCGGGGGCAATGATCAAAGTGTAGTACGCTGCCTTTGTGAGCTTCCGAGTCGGCGTCTGTCGAACTCTCTGCATAAGCAGAGAGGAACTCGGACGAAGCTTTGCCGAAGGGCAAGGTTTTGTTCGGGGAGGTAGACAGGGCCTGAATCCGTATAGGTGCGTTCAAAAAGGCTATATTTTTGGCCGAGCTTACGGGCTCGGGGATACCCACATTAAACCGGCCTTGTGCCACATTCTATCCTCGTGGGTGGATTGAAAAATACTATGCACCACTGACCCGTATATATAAATAGCCGAGAAAAAAAAAAAAACACTCATGACCTGACGATTGCATATACCATGAAACAGTCTGTCGTCTCTAAGTGTTGACTTCAATGTTCACTTTTATATTTACACACGCTCTATCTCCGATATTGAGCACTTTATCCCTTAAATATAGCACACCTTAAGAGTATATTTCTTCACACACATACATACATATATATATATATATATATATATATATATATATATATATATATATATATATATATATGTGAAAGATAGATAGAGATAGATAGATAGAGAGAGAGAGAGACATAAAAATCGAGAAAATAGATTAACGTTTCTCTGTTGGTGCGCCTCGCTGCACCAGAGCGCCGTGGAAGATGTATAGGTGCGCCCTGTCAATCCAGAAATATATGTGTCTAGATATAAGAAATAAATTTCTTTACTTTATTATATTGCAGAACCCGTCTCGTTGTCGATAGCCCTTGAGTAAGATAGGAAGTTTTTTGTTTTGTTTTATTGAACTGGTAGGAGTTGCTGGTCGGTCCTCCATGACTAGTTCGAGAAAGTTGATTATAAAAAATATATTATGTAAAATTATGTAACATAAAATGATGACGACGATTAGTATTGTTTATTTAAATGTTGTCATATTTATACTTTCATAGTAATTTAACATTTATAATTTTTTTCCTTATTTGTTTCTAAGCAAATGTGATAACATAGTTACTTTATCATAAAGAAGTCAATTGGGATTACATAATTTATGCAGTGAGTGCACTGCAATATCACTTGTGAATTAAAAATGCAGAAAATTTCAGTCTGCGCTTTTAAAGCATTCTTTTCTTTTTTCTATCAAAGAAAACATTTAATATCTGACGCAGCAACTGAGCAGAGTTCTGCCAACCAACCATTAAATATCACTGAAGCACGTCTTTCAGATTTTCTAAAGAATTTCATGATAAAAATTCAGTGGTATTTAAATTAGCGACGGTTAATCAGACTGTCATAGAAAATCATTTCATTATAAAAACAGTTCAATTAACATAACTACATTTTTATTTCGTTTATCAAATGCTATTTTTTGAGTGTTTTGCTTTGCGCAATACATCTGCTCCCACCCACATATGTAAAAATAACATTACAGAATTTTTAAATTAGATTATGTTGGCTTTCCTCAAAATTTGTACTTCCAACCAAGCATGAGCCAGTGTGGCTCTAACAAGCGTTAAAAGTGGAAGTGTTTTGCATACTACTTATTTTCAGATAAATACACCCATAAAAAATGGATAGGTTTCTTAAAACGATGCGTGATACTGAAGAAGCCGATTCTGGAATTGAGCAAATCATAAGTGCAAATAAGAAAGCAAATCCGCGCGTTACACGCAAATACAACGAACCGGAAGTGAAGATAAGACTTTGCCGCTATGTTTAGAATGTGGATGTTAAATGGCAAATGAATCATTGCTTCCTAGTAAATTGAATAAACATTTAAAAACCAAACACTCTCATTAACAAAATAAATTTACACGATATTTCAAGAGATTGTCCGAACAGCAAACAAAAGCTGCAAATTCTTGAAAAATTTTAATGATTATTTCTGAGAAAGCTCAATTCGCTTCTTATCAAGTCTCAGAACTAATAGCCCCAAATATGAAACCTCATACTTTAGGTGAGTCACTTATTTTGCCTGCCACCAAAATAACCTTCATAACGATGTTGGAAATGAAGCAGCATTAAAAATAAGCAAGATTCCTCTGTCCAGCGATAAAATTCACAGGTATATTCTACGAATATCATCTGATATCGAGAAATATGTAAACAGGCATAAAAATTCACTATTCAAATTTTCCATTACAAATTGATGAGTCAACAAACAAGGCGCAAATTTTAGCAGTCATTCGTTTTATTAATGAAGACCAAATAGTAAATCAGTTTTTTTTTGCAATTAAGACCAAATAGGCTAAATTTTCATGTTCCTTTTTTTCATCCAGAATTATATATATATATATATAAATATATATATATTTTTCTTTGTATATATTTTATATTTCTTTCTATCCATATATATATATATATATATATATATATATATATATATATATATATATATATATATATATATATATGGATGAATATTCTGAATAAATCTCTTGATAAATATCAAACATGGAAGTCGTGTGTAGGCATTTGTACAGATGGGACCCTTTCTATGGTAGGTTGTATGAAGGGCGTTATGTCTTCAGTAAAAAAAATGAGAATGTTATCGTATCTCACTGTTTTATTTATACCGACGCCTAGATGGCAAACAACTCTGGGAGAAAAATTAAGAGAAGTTTTACATTAAGCTGTTAAAATGGTAAATTTTATTAAAACAAGACCTGTCAAATCGCGATTATTCGGACAAGTTTGTATCAAAATGGATTCTCAACACAGACGTTTGCTTTTGCACCGCGAGGTGAATTGGTTGACAAGGGGAAAGTACTTACTCGCGTACACGAGTTACGACAAGAACTTATTGTGTTTTTCGAAGAGATGAAACAATTACATTGCTGCGACCTCCTTCGGTGTGAATATTGGATTGCTAGGTTTGAGTATTTGGCAGATATATTTCAACAGATCACTATTTTTAATACTAGCTTGCAAGGGAAAGAAGAAAATATATTCACATCCACTGACAAAATGAAAACGTTTATGAGAAATCTTTAGATTTGGAAAAGAAAAGCTGTTGAAGGTAATTTGAAAATCTTTCCATTGGTAAGTGACACTTGCATAAATTATATACTTCCAATAATTGTTTAACACATAACAAATTTGGAGAAAAAGCTCAGTTCTTATTTTCCATAACTTAACACTGAACAATACCATTAGATGAGAAACCAATTCATGGAAAACTCAAGAGATTTTTGGTTAACATTGAGTGAAGAAAAATAATTTGCAGCTATATCCACTGATCTTGGGTTGATGATTAAAGATAATGAATTGTCTCTTGAAGCGTTTTGGATTTCTATAAAAAGAATATGTTTCAATATCTAGAAACCACTTTATTACAGTTTGCAATATCATATTTATATGAATAAGAAGATTCTGCTCTCGACACAAGTGCAAAAAGAGAGGAGCTCTTCCATGTAATTACGAGGAAATGAGAGTTTGTCTATCAAATATATGCTCAGACATTGAAGAAATTGCTAAGTCTCATCAGGCTAATGTTTCTCATAAACACAAGAATGAATAAACTTAAGGCATGTTTCATTTTAATTTTTTATTACATCTTTTCTTTACCTCAATATTTGACTTCATTATAACATATTTTTTTCCAAAATTTGTATATATTGCGCCTACAATTATTGGCAGGCTTTCAAGTGCGCCCCGATTTAAAAAAAAAGTTTAAGAACCGATAAGATAGACAGACAAAGAGATAGATAGATAGATAGATAGATAGATAGATAGATAGATAGATAGAAAAAGAAGAAAGAAAAATAGATAGATAGATAGAAAGAAAGAAAGAAAGAAAGAAAGAAAGAAAGAAAGAAAATATAGATATATAGAGAGAAAATGACAGTAAATGGGGAGATAGAATGAAGGAAAGAAAGATATAGACATAGAAAGTAGGAAAAATTCATAGATTGATAGAATGAAAGAAAGAAAATAGAAAGAATGAAAAACAGGTAGATTTTAGAATGAAGGAAAACTAGAAAGAGAGATAGATAGATAGATAGATAGATAGATAGATAGATAGATAGATAGATAGATAGATAGATAGAAAATATTGAGATAAGAATAGAAAAATAGATAGGTTGATAGAAAGAAAGAAAACTGAATGAATGAATGAAAAAATAAATACAGAAAATATGTAGATATAATGAAAGAAAGTAAAATATGTAGATAGAATGAAAGAGAAATATCGCTAGATAGAAAATAGGTATATAGTGAGAACATTAGATAAATAAAAATAGATAGATAGATAGATAGAAAACATAGAGATAAGAATAGAAAAATAGATTGATAGGTTGATAGAAAGAAAAATGAATGAAAAAATAAATACAGAAAATATGTAGATATAATGAAAAGAAAAAAATATAGATTGAATGAAAGGTTCGCTAGATAGAAAATAGGTATATAAGAACATTAATGAAAAAATAATAGATAGATAGATAAAAACATGTAGATAAGAATGAAAAAAGATTGATAGGTTGATAGTAAGATAAATGAATGAAAAAATAAAACAGAAAATATCGATATAATGAAAAAAGTAAAATAGGATAGAATGGAAGAGAGAAAATTAGATGAAATAAAAATATATTGAAAGAAAATTAGATGAATAAAAATAGAAAGAAAGAAAGAAAGAAAATAGTTCGATCGAAAAATAGAAAGACAATTCAATTAAACTCTGAAGTTATATTTTCAGCTTGAAATAAAATCTTGCTGGAATAGAAACTGAGTTACACGGTACATTTTATGAATGTATTTTTAGCAGTATCTTATCTAGGAGGGATATTTCATAGTTTCTGTGGAATAATTACAACTTACGCAGAATAAATGCCGATGAAATGTTAACGGTATAATATTAGGAAAATACAGAAGTCTATTTCAATGTAATGACGTCTCAGCTTCAATCACTTTCCCACTATCATAACTCAGGTTCCTCACGCATTTTTATAAATATTTTCAAACCAATTCTTCTGATGCGCTCTACACTTTGGTACTTCGGATTTAAGCGGAGTGTTAAAATTTGCTCGATCTCACCGTTTGATTTTAATAATTTCTTCTTGCGCTCTTCCCAACCGAGTAACTCTTTTCCGGTTTATTTCTTTCTTTCAAGTACGTTCTTCAAAGATTTAAATGCAACGTCAGCCGATATGTTCTCTCTCCTTAAAGTTTGTTTTTGATTATCCTTTCTTACTTTGAAAAGCTTTCTCTGTGTTCTTGACTTTCAGTAACCGTTGCATCTAACAGGCTTTGTAGCATTATGGCGAAAAGATTAAAACTTGCAACTCGAAAGTAACCCAAGCATGGCAGTAAACCAACTAAAATACTAAGGGTTACTGAGTGTGAAAAAATTAGAAAACAGAAACTTTATTCTGCAGGTAGAACAATAGAAGGGTAATCAGGAACACAGTAGATAACGATTGGCATTGCATTTATCGTTTCAAATGCCAAAGTTGATCGGAATGCATGAGAGTTCCCCTTGTAAAAAGTTCGAAAGAAGAAAATGTTACCATAGAACTTACGGTTAAATCAATGTTAATCTACTGTAAATGGATAATAATAAGTACCAATCTAGTACTGCGATTAAATCCAGAAAATCTAGGTATCATATTGACGGCCTTATCCGAAAAATTACGACGGAAATTATAGAAAAGACGCAGGATATCAACTTGACGGCGCTGCGAAGTTGATTGAAGCCGAGACGCCAGGTTAGGACCAATATCATTGCTGATTCTTATTTGGAGTGTATCAAGAATCTCTAAATATATATCAGGAACACCAGATCATATATTGCAGCAATATCCTAAGTATGGTCAAATGCTTGACTTATAGACATCTAAGATGTATTCTGGAGAGAAAAATTTAATCAACTTTCATAGCAGCTTACATAGCAATGAATTAAAAAATGTATACATTTCTTCATTTCTGACAAAAATCTGGTAACACACACATCAATCTTTAAGATTCTTTTAATTCTGAGACTATAGTCTTGGGAATTTTGAAACTTAACAAGTTAAACCCAACCTTAGAAATCTGGTAGTACATTAAGCGTTTTTACTATTTTTGAAATTGAAGAATAAGTATTTTCCCGATCATGTCAATAAAACCTAATAGCTCTCAGCGTGATGGAAATTACAGAAGATGTATATACACTGTAAGATCCTTATGCCACATTTAGGCGAATTTCAAATTGAAGCTAGATATAATTTTACAGTTTTTTTTTTCTGTATGAACATATATTGGTTTTCACTAGTCATAATATGACATAAAATTTCCATAAATTTCCTAAAGTTTCATCAGTATTCAAGCTGATCTTTGCAATGAAGTCTTCTGGATGTTCTCTAAATTAATTTGCATTTCCGATTCGTGCTGATTGTTCCAAGTGATCCATTAAAGAAGGGTACAAATAAAATTTTCATATTCCAGAATGCATCACCTATGATAAGGTCTAGACGTTTTATAAGATTATCATTTATTTTCAACTATATTCCTGGTACATCGACGCTACTCTAAAAATAAAATCTCTTTGATTTCTTCACGATAGATAAATCTTTATTTTTGTGGCATTGAAACGACGTACCGAGTTTTAACATAGTGCCGCATCATTTCGGTTTTATTTTTCATTTATGGAAGTTTGCTTTTTTTTTTTTTTAGTGTGCAAGTTTAAACCACAAGGAATCATCTTTCGTACTTTTTCTGCAAGAAATTCATATGCTTGCCTATTATATGAATGCCATTCTTGCATATTTAATATTTCACAGTGAGTTGTCTTTGTCTTATTTTATGACAGTGTCACCATATTATCTGTGACTAAGTATAAATTTTGAAGGTGTTCTTGGCGACCACATTTTTGTTTTGTAATGGTCCAAATTAATTGTAGCCTTCACGGCCTTCTTCAGGCAAATAGTCCATAGTCACACTCTACCTGTCTTGTTAAAATTAAATCTTATCTTCTTAACTTCACGCATAAAAATACCTGTTTTTGTCTATCGTGTATGTATAATTTCTTTAACTAGCATCTGTTGATTCCATTGCTTTCTTGCATGTTCCAAGATAGTATTTCACTTCATGTCAAACAGTTTATTCCGATTTATATTCCCTCTTAATTATAATGTAACTTGTATCTAATCTACAACAACATTTTTCTTCTTTATTGTCGCCATTCCTGCAATCTCAAAACTACCACAAAATTACATTTTGCATATAGTTGCCGTTTTGATCATCTTTTGCTATTTGCGTTCATAATTCCAAAATATTCCATATTTGTCTCTTTTTTTTTAATTCTCTAAGATTTCTTTAGATAATTCTTACTCCTGATTTTTCGATTTCTTTCTTTTTTTGCAACTACTTGTATTATTTTTCCAAATCGACAAGTTTCTGTTTATAGTATTTGTCAAGACTTTTAGCGTTATTTTTTTGTCTTTTTATAATTTTCATATTTTTGGTTAAATTTGTAACATCTCCAAACCAGGGTTTTCTCCTTTAATTTTCTATTATACACTTTTATTTTCTAATTCTATATCAGTAACTACCATTATTCACACAAATATTAAATTACTTGATATCAGAAAATATAATAGAATAAACCCATCTTACTTTACAAGATTTATAGATCACTTTAACAAAGGCAGTATTTTGACCAGTTTCCCAAAAGAATAAAAATAAAAATATAATAATTATGCAATAGTAGATATATGAGAGAAACGGAAACATCAGATTAACTTGAAAAAGTTTTTCCTATCACTAGTATTCTGATTAATTAGACATAATCCAACCTACCTCATCAAGCACAGTCGGGGTTATAGAGACAAGAGCACCGCAGCTAATTATGAAATTGTTGGTCTCGCCTAGACATCGTTAGAAGGCGCTGTTAAACAGTTATAAAAGTTGGTCACTTCTTGTCTTCTCTTCATTTTTACTTTTTTTTTCTTACTAGCCTAATACTATGGGTATATATTTCCCCAAGTGATTGAACTATATTCCTCCCCTCTCTCTCTCTTTCTCTCTTTCTTTCTTTCTCTCTCTTTCTTTTTCTCTCTTTCTTTCTCTCTCTTTCAAACGCACGCACGCACACAGACTACACATATTCATTGTTAACGTTTAATGTCTCTTTTCTCTTACATGCATACTAGTATATTTTCTCTTGTTTCTTACTCGGTGGTATAAAAAAAAACAATATATATTAAAAGGCATTTAATTGAATGTCTTCGTTTGTGTGGGGGCTTCTTTCTCTCTCTCTCTCTCTCTCTCTCTCTCTCTCTCTCTCTCTCTTTCTGTGTTTGTGTGTGTGTTTGTGTGTGTGCAGGTTTTGTGTGCATGCAAAAATAAATATTATTTAAATATCGTAAATTGCAGCGAACCTATCACCCTCAAGATATTTAGGTCAAAGTTCTGAATTAGTCTTTTACTAATCGTATAGATCGATCCCCAAATATATGGTAGTCTATAAGTAATCAAAACTGTAAACATAAAAGTGTTTTAGCAATTAAATGTCGATCCATATGTGTGTGTGTCTGTGCACGCATGTGTGATAAATACTATTTCCAGAGAATTATTTTGAATTGTATCCTGTTTCTTTTCCTGTTGCCTCTTTTGTGTTGTGTTGTGTGCATATGAGTGTTGCCAAAAATTCAGTATTATTTAGGCCAGTTTCCTAAAAATTCTTGGTTTGTTTAAAATGGTTTCATCGAAAGTTAATTGATTGTGGGATCTGCTTGATTAGTGATGGCGCGTGATTTGCAGCTGGGCTTTCTCGATAGTTGGCATATGTAGTCTTTCTTAGGTTGAACATGTCATCTATTAAATCTAGGTTAGTTTTCATGTTTTTGTCGAATCCCATTTTTTTAAGATTTATGATTATTTTCTGCTTTTGTATGTCACGGTTAAGAAATTGAAATGGATAGACGTGGGGCTGTGATGATATGTCTTGAATTAGATATATAGAATATCCTTACTTTCTTATATATATAATATTGTGTGATGAAACAGTTTTAATGTAAGCTATATTTGTTGTAATTTGGTCAACCACATCAAAAAGGAAGAGGTGTTTTATTTATCGATCTCAAGTGTTTATGTTTGATGAACTGCAGATAGTTCCTTTTGAATTTCACTCTTCTAAGCAGAATCAATTTTAACCAAATAGTAACTCTATAAGAAGTAATGTGGTGGATGAAAGATTTTCTAAAATAAATTTGCTACACTACCGTAGATAAGGTATGTGCTGGTCTATATTAACAATGTCAGGCATCGGGTAGAGTATTAGCCTACTCTTGGCGGGAGGCGGACGTGTTCGTGCCGCGGTTCAGAAGCTTTCATTTTGTATTGCCAGACATCCAGTCTAGATGAGTAGATAAACGAGATGTTATTTAGAGGAAGACCGCCGTATCCGAAGCTGTCGCAAATATCACCTACCTACCTACCAACCAGGACGAATAGGCGAATCCGTGAATATAAACCTACAGGTAATAAGAGGAAACAAGGTTCACGTTCTTTTCCTGACAAGGCGTTTTTCTTTCATTGCGTGACCCTGTTTTTATGCAGTGAAAAACGCCGAGATCAGAAATCGGTATACAACGTGGGGATGATTATTGGTCTGTTGACAGAAAGCTTGAGAGATCTGTATTTTTTTTTTATATTTATAGATTTATAGGGAAAATGATCACTATCAGGCATATAGTGATTTTCTAAGGGGGCACATGGTGAAAGTCGAACTCAGTGAGGATCGAAATTGATCTATCAAGACAAGCTTTCTAACCATTACACCACGTCGAGGTGCCCATATCATGCTTCTGCACCACCAACAGTTAAAATGTAAGAACATCACGTAATAATTTGTAGAGGAACTCAGAGAAAACCATATAAACTCTCAAAGTGTAACGAGAATAAATATTTATGGCAAAGGAAAGAAAATTATAATGATTTGGGGGAAATAATAACAACACAAACAACGTATTAAGTTTCGGAAATGTATCGGACAGAATAGACTGAATTATATTTGAACTATACAAAATATAAACTCAGAAAAATATTCAATATATTCACCAATTTTAAAATTCTACTATTTTGATGTGCGATTTCAATGGAGATCTCAACACAAAGGAAGATATATATTCTGGTTTTGGAAAGTTGTGAATGGGAAATGAAAAGAATGAAGCTATATGCTCATTAAATCTACATATATATATATATATATATATATATATATATATATATATATATACACACACACACATACACACACACACACACACACACACATATATATATATATATATATGAAAATTAGGAATAAAACTCTGAAAGTGCTGTAAGACTGGCTTGCAAAAGTCTAGGCGAGGAAACAGAAAACGTCATCAGTAATGATACCACAAACTCCATTAAAGATATAACCATCAACAAAAACAGACCGGAAGTTATTGTAGAATGGTAGAATTAAAAGTAAGAAAAAATATCTTAAATCGTGAGAAATAAAATGCAGCAGAGATAACAGACAAGAGAAATGTTAGCATCTATAAAGAATTGCAAATTTTCTCGTAACAACTTCTCGTATAAAAAATTAAATCTCGTTTCGTTGTGACTAGTCACCTTCCTTTTTTTTCTAGTTGCTAGATTCGAAACAGCAAAGTTGATCTTGCCTGACTCTCCATTGCGCATCATTAAAAATGGCATCTTTGAAATGATAACTCCCAAATTCATTGATAGAAAAGGAATTGATGGCTAGGTGTTTCATTTTATTTAGCGGTATATCAACCTCTATGGCTTATTTAATGCCAAAACATAGATATTTTGTACCCGGTTTTATGCTTTCAGATACATATATTTTGAACGCAATTTCATGCCTTCAACTACATATATTTTGTAAATAATTTCGGAGTAAGCCTAGGTTTTAGGCTAGTTGTTTTGGTTCAACGTTATATCCATCTTTATGCGTCATTTAATGACGAAATATATATATGTAAATTAGATCTTTATCATTAATTCAAGAGAGATTATTTCATGATTAAAATATAATTGCTTAGTTACATCTTTTACTAAATAATCTTGCAAAATAAAGTGACCCGTGAAAACTTGTTTCTCCTTACAAAAAATTAGATTATTTTATCTATGCTTGTAAATGTATGACACGTCTTCAATTTTATAAAATATCTTGATTGTCATTTTACTATGAAAAATTAATGTTGTTCATTTTATTATAAATTATTGTGTTTTGCTATATTGTATATATATACGTTATTGTTTTTGCTATATTGTATTATATATGTTATTGTGTTTTTGCTGTTTTATATATTACTAGTCTTTTTTATTTTAAAATGTATTGTTGCTAATTTTACAGTAACAATATATTCATCGTAATTTTACTATAAAAATGTATTGTTGGTAATTTTTATAATAAAAATGTATTGCTGATATTTTCACTATAAAAAATGTATTTTCCTACTTTCTTAGTGTTACGATTTGTGCTTGGGGGGGTCGCTATTTACACATAGCTGATACCCTAAAAGCCCCAGAACAATTCTAAATAGATTTCTTTGAGGAACATTTATAATTCTACATAAATATTGTTTTTCTTGTTTTTCTTGGTTATGCTAGCATAAAAAAACACTTTTCTAACTTTAGGTTTTCTTTAAATTCCTCTTAAATGTGACATGTCCGTTTGGGAGGTTGGCGATCACGACTTTCCACAATTTCTTGACCTTTGTAGCTCAATATAAATATTGTATGCTTTTCTCTCTCCAGAAGATTCTC